CACCATCACCATCATCATCGACTCCATCAAAGCTCAGTTTTATTTTGCACATCTGGATTTTAAAGGAGACGACCATCGAGATCATTTAATGTTCTGCACTTTCCTAAAGTGCCTCCTCGCCGTCAAACAAGTGAACTTTTACACCACAGTCCGTGCTCAATAATCCAGGTATAAAATCTAACAACGGTCACTCAGGTCATCTGGAAACAAACTGCATCTTTGGAGTCTTACTTTAAGTATTAACGTCATCTCGCAGCTTTGATCAGTTTTGGGAGTTTCCCATCCTCACAACATTATCCTCATCTCCAGTTTCTACCTCTTCTCTGTACTTGGGTTGAGGAGGCAACAGGTCCAAGACAGAAACTCAGACCTCCTTCTCCTAAGCAACACTCCTCCTGGGGGGACGCCAAGGTGTCCCCAGGCCAGGGAGGATGTACAGTAGTCCTCATTTATCACAGGGGTTTCTGTACCCTGTCCCCCAGTGATGCACCGCCAAGTAAGAATAGTAGTAAGTAGTAGTTTTAGTATAGATATATATAGATAGATAGATAGATAGATAGATAGATAGATAGATAGATAGATAGATAGATAGATAGATAGATAGATATAATCCTTCCCACACACTTGCAATATTCTAAACAATGTTTCTAAACTCTCTAAAAGATCACAGCACGTCATGGTCTCTGCCACCTGCCAGCACTCTTGGCCACGCCCACTTCCTGCACATGTGAGCTGCACGCTAGAGTTGCATTCGGGCCTAAAAAAATCTGACCCAGCCCGGCCCGAGCCCATAGGCAACCCAACTATTAACTCTAATTACAGGCCCGAACACCCCCCCCCCCCAAAAAACTCCTTTTTTTTTCCATTTTTATTAGGCTTTTATTGCTTTTGTAAGCAAATCAGTTTGACATATTTTAAAAACGTATTTCAAAGAAAGGAAGATAAAAGATTTCTTGTTCGTTAACAAGTCACCAAATGGATATTAAGATACAAAATGAATAGCCTAAAATATCAACTGTAAAGATCGGCGATTATACCGATGAATAAAAATATTTTTAGAGCAACATTTTTTGTCAAAATATAGAACAAGGCTGTTTGAATTGAACGTGCTGCTCGCCTCGGCTTTTCTAGATGCAGGTGACAGCAGGTTGGAGACACGCGCGGCCGGTGATCAGCTGATCCATCTGAAGCTTAACGTGACTTTTTTTATCTCTTTCAACCGTTCGGTCGGACCTGAGCGTGCACCTGACTGACACACGTCAGCAGGTTTCACTGTGCCGGCTTTTTAGTGTGAGTTCTCCCGTTTTTAGCTTTTGTTTAATACTTTCCAGCTCCATTACGTCTCTTGTTGCGAGTCAGATGCAAATCCTCAGATGTGTGATAAGAGCAAAGCAGGGCGGGCGGGGCCACAGTTGTGCACTGCGCCAGCGCTACTGTCTCTTTTCACAGTCTGACTAACTTCTGCACTCTTTTCTTTCTTTCCTCATCCTCAACATATAAACTTACTGCCTCCTCCTCTACAAGTACATTAACACAATTTTATATTGTGCATTCTTATTTATGCATTTAGTTTTCTTTGTGCTGTATGATTCGTAAAACCGCATCAAAAGCCCGAGACCGCCCCACCCCACCCCAGCACATAATTTTGGCCCGACCCAACCGAGAAATCGCAACTCTACTGTACACAGATGCAGCAGGTGCAAAATAATTAAAATAATTTATTTTAAATAAAAATTTCACGCCGATCGTGCGGCTCATCCATCAATCAGCCAATTGTGTGTCATGTCCAATCTTATTTTGAAAACGCGCGAAACAGCGAGTCCGCGATAAACGAACCGCAAAGTACCGAGGGACTACTGTATCATCCCTTCAGTGAGTTCTGGGTCTATCCCGGGTCCTCTTCTGAGTGGGACAAGCCTGGACAACCTCCAAAGCGGGCGTCCAGGAGGCATCCTAATCAGATGTCTGAACCTCTTCAACTGGCACCTTTGGATGCAGAGGAGCTGCAGCCAACTTCAATCATCTGTGGATGACGGAGCTTCTCACCTTCTCTCCAACACAAAGGAAGTTCATTTGAGCTACTTGTACCTGGAACCTCATTCTTTAGGCCATGATCACAACCTCATGACCATTGAGGTGAAGGTTGGAACGTAGGTGGACCAGTAAATCAAGAGGCTTTTCCTTTCAACTCAACTCTTTCTTCACCATGACCGACCGGAACAACCCCATTATTACTGAGGACGAGGCCTCAATCTGTCGATTCATCTTTTGCTCCATCCTACTATCACTCCTGAACAAGACGCCCAGATAGTTGAATTACGTCGCCAGAGGCAAAGACTCCTTTGACCCGGAGGGGGCATTCCTCCCGTTTCTGTTTGAGAAGCATGGCCATGAATTAGAGGAGCTGACTCTCATCCCAACCGCTTCACACACAACCTTGAACCGCCCCAGTGCACGGTGAAGGTCATGGCCTGTAGATGCCAACAGAACTAACTTTCACATAAAGTTAAGATGAGACCCCGAGGTTTCCAAACCAGACACACTGGTTACATAACTGCACCTTGAGATCCTGTCCGTGAACACCACAAACAGGGCAGGAGACGAGTGACAGCACTGGCAGAGTCCAACCTGGACCAAGAACAAGCTCGATTTTCTGCCAAGAATGCACAAACAACTCCTGCTTTGTTTATACAGGGACTGGGTAGCCATTAAACCAACCCTGGCACATCATACCCCCACAGCACCCCCTACAGAATGCCTCGGATAACACGGTCTTAAGCCTTCTCCAGGTCCACAAAACACATGTAGACTGGAGAGGCAAACTCCCATGACCCTCTTAGTAACCCCAAAAGTGTGAAGATCTGGTCCAGTGTTCCACAACCAGAACAAAAGCCACACAGCTCCTCCTGAGTTTGAGGTACGACAGTTGACTGGAGCCTTCCAACACCAAGGAGCAAACGTTCCCAGGGAGGTTAAGAAGTGTGATCCCACAATCTGTGGGATCCCATCCCAAAGGACCACAATCCTGAGCAGAGCTGCAAGGGGAAGCTCTCTGTTTACCAGTCTGTCCACGTTCCTACCCTCACCTATGGTCATGAACTTTAGGTAACGACCAAAAGAACGAGGGGGTGGAAGTTGAAATGAGTTTTTTTCCGCAGGGTAGCTGGACTCTTCCGTAAAGATAGGGTGAGAAATTTCAGTTATCTGGGAGAGATAGAGCAGAGCCGTTGCTTCTCAACATGACGAGCCAGTTGAGATGGTTCAGACATCTGGTAAGGATACCCCTTGGATGCTTCCTTAGGGAGGTGTTTCAGGTATGTCTAACTGGGCTGAGACCCCCGGGGAAGACCCAGGACACGCTGGAGAGACTACGTCTTTCTGTTGTCCTGGGAACACCTTGGAGTCCTCCCAGAAGAGCTGGAAGAGGCTGTGGACAGAGATGTCTGGACTTCTCTGCTCAAGATGCTGCCCCTGAGACCCGGCTTAGCAACAAGCGACAGATAATGAATGAATGGATGAATGAATGAATGAATGAATGGATGGATCCTAAAATAAACATCAAACATGTTTTGATAAAATAAAAACTTTATGTTTAAATCTTACTTTACATGTGCATTACGTTCGAAGTCAATGATGAAATAAACCAACGAAAAATGTATTTAATTCCAGTCCTGATAAAAACAATCGATCAGCTGATCTGAAGGATCCACTCACCAAGTTCTTTTTCTGGAGAGGACAGAGGTGAAAGGTCAAAGAGATAACCTTCCTGGAAAGAGTGTGAGCTCTCGTTAAGGTTGAGGTAAGAGTAGGTTGAAGTCATGTCGTCGTTGAAGG